GAGAGGGAGAGATCTGTTGCCTGATATAATTCCTGACTGGGAATTGAACCCGCAACCTATGTACGTTCTCTGACCAGGAATCGAAATCACCACCTCTCCATGTATGGGGCGTTTTCCAACTGAGCCACACCAGTCAGGGCAAGTTCTCCCATCTTTTTTCCTTCCCCTGACCTACTTCGGTCTTAAATAACATCAACAAAAATGTGCTGCCCACCAGCAGTAGGCAAGGAAGTTGGCCAACTTTAGAGGGGATTCAAAGATTGCTTAAAGATATAGATATAGTTCTATGTGAGAGGCAGAAAAATCCATAAATAACCCAAATACGGTCTGAGGTATCATGAGTGAGATAGATATTTGAGGGACTTACAAAATAATGAGGGACAAAACTAGAATAGTATGAATAGAAAAGGGAGTGAGGAGGACCCTCTCTTGTCTTGCTGGGAGCTGTGTCCAGTTTGGGGCTCTCTTTTGCTAACTGCTTCTGTTTCACAGGAAGCCCCTGAGCAGAATTCCCAATATGTGTGTCCACCCCTATTTCTGATTCCTGCCTGTTTCTTGGCTGCCATATCCCATTTCTAGATTTTTCATGTGACTTTTTGTCTTTCTTCCTGCAGTCTTAGCACTGAATGTAGCTGGACAAGTGTAATCTTATTCTCAGGGCTGCCATGTGTATTTTCATGGGGGCTTGGGGGGAAAATGGAAAATAGGGTTGTTAGTGACAGAGGCAATAGGAAGGGGTATGGTCAGGTTGCATTTCCTCTGAGTTTCAGCAACTGTGTATTTATACCGCTCAAATTGACCCAGTTCTGGTATAGTTGTTTCTGTAGTCACCATTAAAGGTGGAAAAGAACCATAAAAAGACAGTGGTAATAACAGACTGATTTCTGACCTATTTTTTCTTGGATACTTTCCCAAGAAATAGGGTTAAGGTAAAGGGTAAGTTGTTGTCAGGGAGTGTTTAAATATCTGACCTTTGGAGTGTGCAGGGGTCTTTCTTAGCCTTCCTCTACTTTCTGTTAACACCTAGCTTTTGGAAATCTAGCCTTTGGAGAAGTACTTACCCATTACTGTTTCCAAAATACTTGTGAAAATCCAAGCTGCAGCTTGCTCTTGACAAAAAACACAAAGTCTTTTCTTTCTAGATTTAGTTGAAATTCTCATGTTTAGAGCTGGTCTGTCAGCCTTCTACAAACTCACTTGGACCCATTTTGCTTTTTTATGCTTTCATCAGTCAGGGTAGTAGGTAATTTTATGACTCTCTCTCTATCTCATGTATTACATATCTTTTCTAGAACCAGTAAATCATTCCAGAGGAAGTTATGTAAATACTGACTTTCTAAAATGAGCTTCAGATTGGGACCAGTTGGTACACAGAAATGTTTATTGAATGAGTAAGATTTTAGTAATGTGCATAGTTAGTACTCAGTTTATGGGCTGTGTAGCTAGGGGAAAAGTTATAAAACTAATTTCAGTAACATTTGACATAGAACATTAGCAATCATTTTTTTATGGGGAAAAACATTAATAATTGTACTTATACAGTATTTTCATTTATGTTTTTCACAAGGTTTCTATGTGTATAAGCTCTTTTAAAAATATTTTTTATTGATTTCACAGAGGAAGGGAGAGGAAAGAAGAGATATAAACATCAATAATGAGAGAGAATCATTGATTGGCTGCCTTCTATTGGGGATCAAGCTTGAAACCTGGGGATGTATCATTGACCAAAATCAAATCCAGGACCTTTCAATCCACAGGCCAAAGCTCTATCTACTGAGCCAAACAGGCTAGGGTTATATGTAAGCTCTTGACATAAATCGGATGAGTACTCCTATCTCCCCCATTTTACAGGTGCCTGAAATAAAGATTTAAAAAGATAGTTTTGGGATTTAAATCCATAACCTAGTTTAATTCTCTTTCCTCTCCAAATTGTTCAGGTAAAAAGTTTGTGTGAGTTTGTGATAAGAGAACAAAAAAGTAATAGGTGCATTTATTTTATCATACTGTGTTATTCAATCTAAGAAGATACCTTTATTCTGATATTCTTTCAATAAATACTAACTGCCCAGCCTTGTACCAGGTTCACAGGTACTCAATATTATGTTGAATAATACAAATATGGAGCTTATGTTCTAATGAATGAAGAGAAATAATAAGTAAACAAGCAATGAGAGCGCTCAAGAAAATAGAGAAAGGCTGGTGGTCGTGTTTTCATTTATTTCTGAAAAATGGGCATCAGGGTTTAGAGTATCTATATTTTTTTTGTTGTTGTTGTTTTTTAATTTCTTTATTTTTTATTTATTTTTTAAAATATATTTTATTGATTTTGTACAGAGAGGAAAGGAGAGAGATAGAGAGTTAGAAATTAATTTCTTTATTGATTAAGGTATTAATATATGTCCTTATTCCCCCATTACTCCCACCTCCCATTCATGCCCCCACCCCCTGTTGTCTGTGTCCATTGATTAAGCTTGGTTATATGCATGCAAATAAGTCCTTTGGTTGATCTCTCCCTCTTACTCCCACTGTCCCCTACCTTCCTTGAGGTTTGACGTTCTGATTGATGTTTCTCTGTCTCAGTATCTATTTTTGTTCACTCATTTATGTTGTTCATTATATTCCGCAAATAAATGAGATCATGTATTGTGTATCTTTCTCTGCCTGGCTTATTTCACTTAGCATAATGCTCTCCATCTCCATCCATGTTGTTGCAAATGGTAAGAACTGCTTCTTTTTTTACTGCAGTGTAGTATTCCCTTATGTAGATGTACCACAGTTTTCTAATCCACTTATCTGCCATCTTGGTTTTTCTCCTCATTTTTTTGCATGTATCTGTCCAATTTTCCCAACACCATTTATTGAAGAGACTGTCTTGACTCCATTTAGAGTAAATATGTCTTAAAGAGAGACTCCTTCCTGAGGAAACCAAGAAATCATGAAACATTTTTTCAGTATGGTATTTGGAGGATTTTTTCATATAAATATACAGTTTGTTCTTTTTCTTCAACATTAATCTAAAGTCCAAAATTGGCCTAAGTCCAGAGTGTCTAATTGAGGCTAAAGATCTGCTGCTTCAGGAACCCTTGACCCTACTTCTTTCATGAAATTGAGGCTATGAAAGCCAAGCTTATTGCTGACCAAAGATACATTTTTACCATTTTTGCTCATCTTTACAAAATAACGAAGGTAAAATATTGCTTTCTAGTTTCTTTTGCATTAGCAAAATTCCTGATACCCAGATGTAAAACAGCTATGGTTCCAAGCCCCAGGCTTCCTCCCCTCTTCACTCGAATGACCTTGAGGAGCAACTGAGAACTCACTAAGGCTTTGCAGAACACAGAATGAAAACCACAATAAAAATTCAAATTATAGAACATAAACTGTACACCTATGGATGAGAACAATGAGGGGTGGGGAAAGGGCAGAGGGTGGGGTGGGAACCTGGTGGAGGGGGGAAAAAATGAACTTTTGAAATAATATGAACAATAAAGATTGATTTAAAAAAAAAAAAGAAAGAAATGCAGTAAAATTAAAAAAAAAATTCAAATTATAATCCTGTTGTAAAAGGTAGTTGTGTTGCTGAAATTGGCATAGCCATCATACTAGTGATTCAAAATTATATTTTGAAAGTGCACATTTAGTGAACAAATAGATTTATATGTACATTTTAACCTAAAATATATTTTCAGGTAGCATCCTTTCTAATAAAGAGGAAATATGCAAATTGACTGTCACACCATCACAAAATATGAAAGTGCCCATAGCCACAAGAAGGCAGCTCCCAATCTTCTCAGCCCTGCTGGAGTCCCATAGTCCTTTCAGCCCAGTTGTGGGCTGGGGTAAGGGGGGAGATAAGAGGGTGGGGGAGGGGGGAGAAGAAGGACAGAGACAGCAGGCACAAGGTATGGCTGGACCCACCCTCAGCCTCCCAGCCGCCTAGAGCCAGCTTGAGGCACAGGCAAGCCTCGGATGTTGGCTGCCCAGCCACCTAGGGCCAGCCCAAGGTGCAGGAAAGCCTCAGATGTCTATTGCCCAGCCGCCTAGGGCCGGCGCGAGGTGCAGGCAAGCCTCAGATTGTGGCTGCCCAGCTGCCCAGGGCTGCCCAGGGCTGCCCAAGGCTCAGGTAACCAGGGCCAGCCAAGGTTTATGTTGCCGGTGGTGGCAGCAGCAGAGGTGTGATGGGGATGCTACCGTCCCCTGATTGCCAGGCCACCTCCTGCCCCTGAGGGCTCCTAGACTGTGAGAGGGGGAAGGCTGGTCTGAGGGACCCCCCCTTCCAGTACATCCTCTAGTTTACTATATAAAGCAAAGTCATTCTTTCATTGTAGCTGAAAGTTTATTGAGATACAGTTGACATATAGCCCTGTATAATTTTATGTATGGCATAGTGATTTAACTCTCATATATTGTGAAATTATTACTACAATACAGAGCATAGTTTTTATATTATGTGGGTATGACAGTACTATGTGTCTAAAATACTTTTCATCTACTAATTTAAAAATTAAATTTTATATTGACCAATAATTATTTTTTCATAAATTATTCAATTATAAATAAATCCATGATATGTTTTATATATCATTATAACATAACTAGAGGCCTAATGCACGAAATTTGTGCAAGAGGCTCAGGGCTTGAAGCCCCGGCTGTCTCGGCTGGCCCTCGCAGCCCTGCCTTCATCCAGAAGGTCGCCCCAACATTCCTTCTGCTGTTCGGTCTAATTAGTATATTAGTTCTTTATTATATAGTAGGGGTGTCGAACTCAATCAGAGAAGGGGCCAAAATCTAAAATCCAGCCTAAATCGCGGGCCGAATGTTTACTGAACAGTCATAAACTGTCATTGTGATGGAAACGCAGCGGAGTGCAGTGATGACAGCGCGGTGCGGGCCACATTGCAAGGCCTGGCGGGACGGATTTGGCCCGCGGGCCTTGTGTTTGACACATGTGTTATATAGTATTAATTGCTAGTTTCAATTTTTTTCTTTTTGTTTTCCAGTTTGCCAGAGTGTGGATACCTGATCCTGAGGAAGTTTGGAAGTCAGCAGAGCTGCTCAAAGATTACAAGCCAGGAGACAAAGTCCTCCTGCTTCACCTTGAGGAAGGAAAGGTAAGAATTTGGTTTTATTTGTTGTCGTTGGCAAAAAGTGAAGGGAATTAAAAAGTTTTAAATTTTGAACTAATTTAATATTTTTATTTATTAAATTGATTACAAATAGCAAAATGGAAAACTCAAATTTCTATCCCAATGGATTAGTGAAAATAGCAGATACTTTAAAAATTTATTATTTTTGTCTATGAATTCTTACTAGATTTATATTCACACTAGAGGCCCGCTGCATGAAATTCATGAACTGGGATGAGGGGTGTCCCTCAGCCCAGCTTGCACCCTGTCCAATCTGTAACCCCTTGGGGAATGTCTAACTGTGGTTTATGCCCGATCCTCAGGGCCTGAAATATAAATCTATTTGTTCATCCTGAGGATCGGCCTAAACCAGCAATCAGACATCCCTCTCACAATCCGGGACTGCTGGCTCCCAATTGCTTGCCTGCCTGCTAGCCTGATAACTCCCTTACCACTCCCTGACAGCCTGATTGACACCTACTGCTTCCCTGCTGGCCCGATTGCCCCCAACTGCCCTCCCCTACTGGCCCTGTCACCCCCAACTGCCTTCCCCTGCTGGCTCGGTCACCCCTAACTGCCCTTCCCTGCAGGCCTGCTCCCCCACAACTGCCTTCCCCTACAGGCCTGGTTGTCTCCAAGTGCCTTCCCTGCAGGCCTGGTTGCCCCTGACTGCCCTTTCCTGCTGGCCTGGTCCCCCCAACTATCCTTCCCTGCAGGCCTAGTCTTCCCTTCCCCCCACCAACTGCCCTCCCCTGCCAGCCTGATCACCCCAAACTATCCTCCCCTGTTGGCCTGGTCTCCCTTAACTGCCCTCCCCTCTTTGTCTGATTGCCCACTACTACCCTCCTCTGCCGGCCATCTTGTGGTGACCATCTTTGACCACATGGGGCCACCATCTTGTGTGAGGGCGTGAGGGTCAATTTGCATATTACATATTTATTATATAGGATATAATTCTTAAAAATATACATTTGTTTATTTGTATTTTGTTTAGGCTAGCATTAAAATGCTTTCATATTGCCCGGCTGACATGGCTCAGCTGGTTGAATTTCGTCCCATGCACCTAAAGGTCACTGGTTCAATTCCCAGTCAGGTTGTGGGTTTGATCCCCTGTCAGGAAGCATACAGAAGGCTACTGATCAATGCTTCTCTCACATTGATGTTTCTCTCTCCTTGCCATTCCTCTCTCTAAGCATGTCCTCATATAAGGATTAAAAGATAGAAAAAAATGTTTTGATATTAACTAACATTTCATATCATCTAAGGAGCCATTTGGTATTTGCTGGAACCAATTATTTGAAAAATTTTACTGATAAGTTAGTATAAACACTTTGTTCATGACTAGAAATATTTAAAACCAATTATGTCTCTATATTTCCCTGTCTGCATGTGCTGGATGAGTGGATTTGTTTTAGTGGTACTCCTTTTAATCTTTTCACTGCATTCACACTTTTTTCTTAAAAACCTTTGTGACATTAATTTCCTTTAAACAAGGAAACTGTATAAATATATGAAAAGTTAAGTAAAATAAAACTATATAGAATAGTTCAACACCACTAAGATGTGAAAAGGTAGTTTATGATTAACTACCAAATGAATAATACTCTCCTGACAGTTAACATGTATCGAGCACTTAGTAAGTGCTTTATTTGCTGTAACTCATTCAATCCTCACAACAAGCCTATGAGATGAGGCTATTATTATTACCACTTTATGGAGGAAGAGACTGAGGCTCCGAGAGTTTAAGACTTGCTCAGGGTTATATAGATATTAAGGTATGAAGCTAGGATTTAAAGCCAGGAAACAACAGTAGAACAGAGTGGGAATAATCAGAGGGCTGGGGAAGGTAAGGGGTCAGGGAGGCATTCTCTGAAGAATCAGTAGACAAGGGGAGTGCATTTTAGGGATCCAGAAAAGCCAGGCAAAGGCAGGGAGTCATGCATAGCATTGTGTGTTTGGGGAGCTACCCAAGTTCCATGTTGTTGGGATGTAAATGAGAGTACAGGACCAGCAAGGGAGAGGGATGTAAAGTGAGAGTACAAGACCAGCAAGATCATAGAAGGCCTGGTGTTCTTCCTAAAACTCTTGGGCTTCAACTAATATGCTACGATGAGTGACTATAATATTTTTAAACAGAGGAAGGGTGCCAGTTGTGTTTTAGGAAGGACTCATTGGTGGCAGCATGCAGGATAAATTTCAGAGAGCAACACAGAGGTAAAGAGTTTAGTTGGGGAGATGGTAGGGAAGAATTAGGAGAAATTAGGAGAACCTTGAATGCCAAACTAAGGAATTAACTATTCAGCATTTATTGACCACCTATTGTGTGTTAGGTACACATTAGGCACTTTGGGCTATATTTTCTTATGTTAATTCTTACAGCAATTCTGTGGGTCAGTAGTTGGTGTTAAGACTATTTTCCAGATAAGGAAGCCAATGATCAGAGACATTAAGTAGTTCTGCCTGAGATCACACTGCTGGAAGTGGCTTTTATGTATTGTAGGGGCCAATGCAAGGGCCAGTCACTTTTGGGGAAGGACATTATCTATAATAATAAAAGCATAAGATGCTAATTAGACCGGAAGACCTTCCAGATGAAGCCGAGGCTGCAAGGGAAGCCTGGCTCCCGGGTGCCTGCCAAAGGCCAGAGGGAAGCCTGGGTCCCAGGTGTCAAAGGGAAGCCAGTGCCCCACAGCCTGGGGGGAGAAAAGCCTTCTCTTATACGAATTTTGTGCATCAGGCTCTAGTACGCCAATAATTGGCAGAGAGGTAGAATGGCAGGTTATAAAATTTCCTCTCCAGTTAGCATCATTTTAAACAGATTGGAATATATCTGTATATCTCATCAGTATTAAGTGACTTTTGAACAAAACCAGCTTGTCCTTCCCTACAATTAAATTGCATTTCCCCCCTGATTCACTTGTCATGTTATTTGCCTTTAATACCTAGTTGAGTTACAGTTTCCATGCTTGGCTTTGCCATAAATTCATATTCTCTTAGTTTTAAGTGAGTAAGTACGTCTTAACTTTTAGGCCAAGCACCTCTTTAAAAATCAAATGAAAGCTATGGATTATCTTTCAAAAAAGTACAATACATATATGATAAAGCTGATTTCAAGGTATTCTTTGACCCCTTGGGGTTCAGTGTTTTGAAGCATTTACCACGTACTAGGCATTGCCTCATTTAATTTTTACCACACCCCTGTAAGCAGTTTCTATTGTGCCCTTTTTACAAATGAAGGATTAAGGTTAGACAACACACCCAAGACCACAAAAGAATTAAGTATTAGTTTTAGAATTTGAACCCAGGTTGATCTCACTCTAGAGCCAAACTCTTAACCACTGTTTTATACTGCCTTTTACATCATAGATGAAGATAAGAAAAAACACACCACACACCTTGAATAAAGATTGAAAACTTATGCTCCAGTAACGGGGTAAAAATGTCTAGGCTCAAACTATATAAGCAAAAATTGTTAATACATATGTATACATCTAGTGAATAAAGAAGATTCTCCTTATTTTTTAAATTTTTTATTTTTTGCCATTTGCATTAGTTTCTTATTTTGGAAGGTGCTAAGAAAATAATGAATTTAATAGCTGAGAAGCAAATAGGAATAGGAAATAAGCAAAATGCAACGGGCCTATTTCACATTTACTGTCATGATTTATCCAGATGTTGTGTCTTGTGCATTTTCAGGATTTGGAATATCGTCTGGATCCAAAGACCAAGGAACTGCCTCACTTAAGAAACCCTGACATTCTTGTGGGTGAAAATGACCTCACAGCCCTCAGCTATCTTCATGAGCCTGCTGTGCTCCACAATCTCAGAGTCCGCTTTATTGACTCTAAGCTTATTTATACATATTGTGGTGAGTGTACCTTTCGTCCTCTTTCCTCTAATGGCCTTGGTCATGGAAATATGGCGATGGGGAAGACTGTGATTGGATTTTCTCTTAGAGACAGTTACACTTCAGAGTTATCAAAAAGATTTACCAATGCTCATAGCTAGCTGTACTTTAATTTTTGTCAAAAATAAAAAGAACTGGGTCCTTCTTTTGGATCCTCCCACCCCCCAGAATTTAGATGCCAAATTTAATGCCAATTTGCCAGTTATTTTCATCTCTTTTAAAAACACGAAGAGTAAATGTCCAAAGACTTATCTTTAGGGCTGGTTCAGGAAGTTTAGTGTCTTTCTCAATTACTTAGAAATGCAGGACTGACTTGATTTGTAGTGCTTGCCTAGGCTCTTGCTCCCTTTTTTTTTTTTTTTTTTACTTTATTTTTAAATTTAATAAATCTTTATTGCTCAGATTATTACAATTGTTTCTTCTTCCCCCCATCCCCCATAGCTCCCTTCCACCCAGTTCCCACCCCTCCCTTTGCCCTTACCTCCACTCCCCATTGTCTTCATCTGTAGGTGTACTATTTTAATCCAGTCTCTTCCTGCACCCTACACCCCTTTTCCCCTGATAATTATCAATCCACTCCCTTTCTTTGCCCCTGATTCTATTATATTCACCAGTTTATTCTGTCCCTCAGATTTTTAATTAACATGATTTTTAGATTCACTGAGGTAGGGAGACACTTGCGTGCAGAGAGGAAGGGTGGCAGAGTGCTTGGCTGGCGGGAAGGGAAAGGAAGTCCCCCACTGCACTGGACCCCAGTTCTGACGGCACTTAACCCCAACCCTGTCCGAAACCCCGTGGACCCAGATTCATATGGGTGGAGTCTGAACTGTAGAGAAAGGCACCCAGAGACTGGGAGATGCGGGGGAGCCGGCAGCGTCTCCCTGCCTCAGTGCTCTGTGGCTCCCCTGATCCGTGAGCCTCTCTCCTTCTTTCTAGTTGTAGATTTTTCTACTCAGCCAGCTTTCCTGTGGTTTTGGATGATGTCCCTTCTGTCTTTTAGTTGTTTTGAAATTGTTGCACAAGGCGGCAGCTTAGGTGCTTGGTTTCTCCTCTTGCTCCTTATAGTATTGGCTGCCAAGGACCCAGCTTAGAATTCTTTTTATGTCTCTTAGAAATTAAGCATGTTCATGTATGTAAATTTTTGTTTCTTTCCCTCTTTCCTTCTTTTTTCTCTCTTTCTCTATTTTTTTAAAATTTTGTTTTGTTAATCCTTGCCCAAGGATGTTTTTCCATTGATTTTTTTTTTTTTTTTAAAGAAAAAGTGGAAAGGACAGGGAGAGACACACAGAGAGAAACATTGATGTGAGAGAGACACATCAATTGGTTTTCTCCTACACATGCCCTGACCAGGGCCAGGGTTGGGACCTGGAACGGAGGTATATGCCCTTGACTGTAATTGAACCTGGGACTCTTCTCTCCATGTGCCGATGCTCTATCCTCTGAGTCAAACCAGCTGGGGTTCTATTTTCTTCTTAACCTTTGTTTTCTCTCTCATCCCTGCCTCTTTTTTCTTGACTTCCTATCTTTCTTTTACTAACCATTCTCCTCTGAGACTCAGATCTGAGTTTTCTATTAGTTTCCTTCTATTTGCTTGCGATACCCAAACAGTGGTGACCATTTCTTCATTACTGTTCTGTTTGGGACAGGAACAGGTACCTTTTCTTTTAAAAATAATTTATATCTTTTATATTCTTGATATTAACTCCCTTTCTTCCTTGTGTATTAATTGAATTTTTTTTTCTTTTACTTTAATTTTTTTTGCACATGTGTTACCTTCTTGGTGAAGCCTTCCCTGCCCTACCCTCCCATCTAAGTCATAAACTCCTTGTACCCTCTTTAGTATCTATCTTCCTTTTCTGTTTAATTTTTTTCCTTTTCCTTACTACTACTATCTAACTTATAATATGCATTTTTTCTTATTTATCTTGTGAATTGTTTGAATTTCCCTCTAGAATATAAGGTCAACGAGGGTAAAGATTTTTTTGTTGTTTTGTTTTTGTTTACTGCTATAAGTCTAGAACTTAGACTTGAAACATAAATGGAGCTGAAAAAATATTTGTTGAATGAATGACTTAATATACACTTACAGTAAAAGTTAAGGAAATACAAAAAAGGTATAAAAATAGAAAAGCATTACATATAACTCATCATTAAAAATAACAATATTCTTTGGTTTATGTGTGTATATGTGAGAGTATAAATAGTTATAAAATGGGAGTCAGTCTCTACATAGTGCATCATGTTTTCCTATGACTTTTAATATTCTTTAAAAATATGATTGTTTGGCCGAAACCGGTTTGGCTCAGTGGTAGAGCGTCGGTCTGTGGACTGAAAGGTCCCGGGTTCGATTCCGGTCAAGGGCATGTACCTTGGTTGCGGGCACATCCCCGGCAGGGGATGTGCAAGAGGCAGCTGGTTGATATTTCTCTTTCATTGACATTTCTAGCTCTATCTCTCTCCCTTCCTCTGTAAAAAATCAATAAAATATATATTAAAAATATATATATATGATTGATTGTAGCATGATAGTGGGTTATATGGCTGTAACAAAATTATTTAATCACTCTATTATATATTTTGTTTTCACTTTTTAGTGTTATGAATAACATTTTGATAAACATCTTTATTTAAAGAAAAACAGTCTTGCATGAATCTCTGATTATTTCATTTGAAGTGGAATTTTTGGTTTAAACATTATAAAAATACTTAAAGTTGTTTTAACATTGTCCCAATTGTCATTTTTTTAAATAACCTAGTTCATTGTTTAATTAGTACTATATTTAGGAGTAGGTAAAATGGGTTTGGAAAAAAGCTGTGTCGTATTTTAATTCTTACCAATTTGTTCAATATAAACTGAAATGGAAATTTGTGTTAGCTGTGATTCTTAGTTAACCAAGTTTAGTATGATCATTAGGATATCAATGATTTCTTCTTTTGCTTTTTCTCCCTTTCTCCAGGTATAGTCCTAGTAGCTATAAATCCTTATGAACAGCTGCCTATTTATGGAGAAGATATTATAAATGCATACAGTGGTCAGAACATGGGTGATATGGATCCACATATCTTTGCAGTAGCTGAAGAAGCGTACAAGCAAATGGCCAGGTTGGTGGAAGCTCTATTTATTATTTAATGACTCTTATTAGATGTGATAACTTCTTCATTGCTGAGTCACAGATATTTTAAAATACAATGAATGGCAGCTTATAAATTATTATTAAATAAATAACCTTGACTAGCTTGTCTTAGATGGTCTGCATTATTTTTTAAAATAACCTACATTTGTAAAAGGGATATGATTTTTAAAAACCACCTTTGGGCCGAGACAGGTTTGGCTCAATGGATAGAGCGTCTGCTTGGGGACTGACGGGTCCCGGGTTCGATTCCGCTCAAGGGCATGTACCTTGGTTGTGGGCACATCCCCAGTAGGGGGTGTGCAAGAGGCAGCTGATTGATGACTCTGTCATCGATGTTTCTAACTCTGTCTCTCTCCCTTCCTCTTTGTACAAAATCAATAAAATATATTAAAAAACAAAAAAAAAACCAAAAAACCAAAACAAAACAAAAAATAAACCATCCACCTTTGGAATCTCATTGTGATCCTGTGACTATGCAAGAACAGATTTACATTTTACAGATGAGTGGATCAAGGATTGGTACAACTAAGTGGCTTGCCCCATGTCATTCAGCTTAGTGGCAGGCAAGAACTAAAAACTGGAAGAAATCTACTTGCACCTAAGAAAATTAACTACCAAGGAAATTGTGAATTTTAATGTTAGCATTATGTACTACGACATTAGTGATCCTGAATAGCATCAGAAAAATGTCTTTGGAATTAACCAGGGAACACAAACATTTTTAAGAATGGAAGATCAGAGGAAAAAAAGCTACTTTTAAGACTAGATTATGCTGTTAATAATATAATGTTGTGTAATGCAAAACTATTGATGCGTAGAAGAATAGTTTATACTTATCTCATTTTTCCAGCCCACAGGTAAAAATTGGCATGTTATAAATATGATATGGGAAACCCTCAAATAATTTGTGAAGCGGAGAGAAAACTAATACTGCAGAGGTTTTGTTTTTTCCTTTCCAGCCAGAGTTGTTTATTTATACATAATTGGATCTGTGTGTGACAGAATTTTAGAATTGTTCAGTGACAGTCCATAGACATCATAATACCCTTTTATTAGTAAAGTATTACTAATACTTTTTATAATATTAGTAATAATAATAGCAGCAAGCAGTTATTAAGTACTATCTTTGTGTAGTACACTGTTTATTTGCTTTCTATTTATGAACTAATTTTATCCTTTTAGAACCTTCTGAGGTGGTATTACTAATAATTTTCATTTTACTGAGAAGTTATATAATTTTCCCAAGGCCACATAACTAGGAAGACTAGTTTTCAAAATCCATTAGTCTGACACTATGAAATATTAACATATTAAATATAAAATGACTGAACATAGTTTTATACTATATAACATTGCTATATTGTACCAGATTCTACTATAAATAGTAATGAGTGTCAAAAATTTAAGAAAGCCCAGTCAGCGTGACTTGATAGTTGAGCATTGATTTATGAACGCAGAGGTCACGGTTCAGTTTCCCATCAGGGCATATGTCCAGGTTGCGGGCTCCATCCCCAGTGTGGGTTATGCAGGAGGCAGCTGATCAGTGATTTTCTCTCATCATTGATGTTTCTATCTCTCTCTCTCTCCCTCTTCCTTCTGCTCTGAAATAAATAAAAATATATTTACATAAAAAATAAATAAAAGTTTAAGAAACTGTTTTTTAAGCTTAAATTTGAGGAAATTCCATCTATTAGTATAATTTCCCCATAAAGTTAGAAAAGCCCAGCAGTGTTTGATTTGTACAGTATTGGATCATTGCAGTAGAGTTCGTACTCTGCAAGTACAACCTTGTAGGCAGAGAGGTAAGTGCATGGAGTGCTAGAGCCTAAAAGTATCTCAAATTGTTTTTGCTGCTCATAGAGAACTGTATTACTTCTTTGAAAATGCTCTTCCTTAAATATGAAAGGTTGGCTCTTACCATCTTTGCTACCTGTGATATACAAATAGTATTAGATTTATAGGAATATTCTTTTGCTTTTTACCCTTAGATTTATTTACATTCATCCCCTCATTATTCCCCTGTGGCTCAGCCACTCAATGTGATTTGTTAACTGTAGGTTTGTTGACTGGTTTTCTCTTTACTTTGTTTTGTTTTTTACACAATTTTACAATATGCTTTAGTCAATTATGATATTAAGTTTACCTTTTATATGAATAAATCTACACCCATAAAATGTGCCAAAGAATTAAATAGACCATGTCTGCTTAGACTTATAGTCGGGAATTTATGTTGCAGGATCATTTTTTTCCTTACTAAATGAAGATGTGCCGTCTTTACTAGATGTGAATTCTGGTGTTTCGCATTACTGGTGCTCCTCGAGGTCCCTTGGCGTCTTCAGGAAGGCACAGTTCTCAGTGATGAGAGAAAAATCACTGATCAGTGTTCCATAGACCCTTACTGAGCACCATCCAAGCACTCTTCGGGGCTTGGGGGACACAGCAGTGAACAAATTAGACAAAATAGACAAACATTTATACCCACATGAAGTGAGGTATGATAAACAATACAAATAAATAAGATGCAGCTTTAGCCTGTTTGGCTCAATGGAAAGAGCATTGGTCTGGGGACTAAAATGTCCTGGGTTCGATTCCAGTCAAAGGCATGTACCTCAGTTGCAGGCTCGATCTCCAGCCCTGGTCGGGCATGTGCAAAGACAACCAATCTACGTGTCTCTCTCATATCAATCTTTTTCTCCCCCTTCCATTCTCTCTAAAAATCAATGGAAAAATATCTTCAGGTACGGATCAACAACAACAAAAACCAACAAAAACCAAAAAATAAGAGGCTGCCCTGTCTGTGTGGCTGTTTGTTGAAGCATCATCCTATGCATCTTTGAGTCACAGGTTTGATTCCTGGTCAGGGCACATACCCAGGTTGCAGGTTTGATCCCTGGTCAGGGTGTGTGCCGGAGGCAGCCCACTGATGTTTCTCTCTCACATAGATGTTTCTCTCTCTCCCTTTCCCTTCTCTCTCTAAAATTAATAATCCTAATATATAAAAACCCTGGGTCGTAACGACTGGAGGCTGACCAACCAGAAGTCAGTGCTGGCCCCGCCCCCATGCAAGCGATAAGGGGCAGTCAGGCAGGCAGAGGGGTTAGGGGTGATCAGGTAGGCAGACCAGTGGTTTGGGGTGATCAGGTAGGCAGGCCAGCAGTTAGGGGTGATCAAGTAGGCAGGCAAGTAGTTAGGGGAGATTAGGTCGCCAAATGGCCCCTTGCTGGGCTGGCCCCACCCCCAAGCAAGTGATTAGGGGCAAGCAGGCAGGCAGGCAGAGTGGTTAGGGTGATCAGATAGGCAGATGGCCTCTTGCAGGGATGGCCCCGCTCCCCAGCAAAGAGAGAGGGAGGCCCAAGCCAGCCAAGCCATTGCACCCCAGCCTGTCGCCTGCAGAGAGAGGCCACCAGTGGCAGAGGAGGGGGGCAGCACTGCATAGATGGCAAGCATTGGCAGTACCAGGGTGGGACCAGCTGCCTGCAGCCCAGGGAAGGAAAGCCCTGATAGGCCCTGATCTCAGGCCAGGCCTAGGGACCCTACCTGAGGGGTCCCAGATTGTGAGAGGGTGCAGGCCAGGCTGAGGGACCCCCTCCTCCCAGTGCACAAATTTTTGTGCCCCGGAACTCTAGTAAAAAATAATAGAATTGAAAAAAGTAAATAATATGCACATGTTGTCATATATTAATAAGTGGTACTGTGAAAAAAATAAAGTCAGAAAAGGAGGTAGGGAATGCTGAGTGGGTCAGAGGTTTATGTTATCAATTCAGGGAAAGCCTCATTGTAAAGCTACCTTTTCTTTTTTCTAAACTTAAAAAAAAAGTTCATACTTACAAAAAAGGTTGAAAACTTGTATACTTCTGACATCTATGATCAGCTGCCATGTGGTACCAAGTACCCTACTTATGCAAATAGACTTGAAGGAATGCATGCGACCTGATAAGGAGAGTTTTTTGTATGGTATGTAAAAGTGGATTAACTTGCATTAATTAATGGCTGCCCTGTTTAGATACCTCCTAGATGCCAAGCATGGTGTCAGCGTATTACCTCTATCTAATCTTCATGACAGATGAGGAAAGTAACTTGTTTGGGTTATCATAGTAATAGTTTCTGGGGATTGAGATTTGTATCCAGCTCCAAAACTCTGAAGTCTTGGCATTTAATTTTCTTATTTTCAGCTAAGTGGTCCTGCTCTAACAGAATCTCTATTTCTACACCTTTTATTCAGTCTATAATAGCCTTTTTCATGTTCCTTATCTGCCTGATTTCTGTTTGTTCTTCATGATTCCACCCAAATTTTACTTTTAGACCACCTCAGCTCCCAGAAAGTGATGCCTCTTCAGAATTCTTTATTATATATATTTGGAACTTGCTGAGTACTCTCTACCCCATAGGATTCAGTAGGAATAAAATAAAGTAAGTGTAAGAGACTGTAAATGTTATAAACAAATATAATTAGCTATTTTATGGCATCTTTATATTAATATCAGAGGCTCTGTAGTGATGGAACAAAAAGTCAGATTATGTGAGAGGACCTGACAGCCATATGACAGGCTTCTGACAAGGAATTACAAGACCTCAGCATGTATCTCTAGGGAATGCTTATTTTCACTTTCTGATTAGTGTCCTTGCCTCTCTAAAGTATAGTTTTCACCAGTGCCAGCACACTCTTTTATAGTAAATATTTACACTTTAAAAGTAATCTTAATATTGTCATTGCGGATTCATTGTCTATTATAAATCTTTTAAAGTTTAAATCTTTTCTTCTTGGGATTGATTTTAAAAGCAGAAATCAGAGACAGACAGCAAAGAAGCTTGATTCTGACAAGTCATAATGTAGGGAAACTTAGCATTTCTCTTATAAGGGAGATAGGGACTAGAGTGAAGCTGCATCTTTAAGTCACCACAGTAAAAACACAGCTTTGAAAGAAAGCAATATATTACATGTTTCCTTTTCTTCTTCTTCTTTTTAAA